AGGAAAAACAAACAAACAAACAAAAAAGCAAAAAGCCCCCCCAAACAAAACCCCCTATCTCTCAGAGGAGCCTATATAAATCTTTGCATGGACTCTGTTCCTCCCAGCCAGGCTGACTGGATTTCAGCAGGGAGAGGACCCCTCCTTGGGCAGAGCTCTCAGGACCGTGGAGCCTCTCCAGGTCAAGCACACACAGCTCCTGCCATTGCCCAAGCCCAGCTCTGGGCACGCTGGGCTGCATCCCCGGCCCTTGGAGCCGCTCTGGGACTCGTTCCTGGCAGACTCGGGAAGAACTTGTCTGACCTTCTTGATACATAAAGGAAGTCCTTGGCGCAACATCAGCGCTCAGCTATTTTACTTTCTGTCTACACTGCAAATGAATGGGCTATAAATCCCAATGAAACCACCCCTAGACTTCAAATCCCATCCCGGGAAGGCTGAGGTCCCCAGGGTCACCAAGCCCTACCCAGCGCTTGGTGGGTGGGAACCAACCCAGCAGCAACACTCGAGTCTCCCTCAGTTCTCCATGAAAGCCTCCTTGTCACGACTGAAATCATTTCACCGCTCAACTCCTGTGGGCCCATGAGGCAAAGAGAGGCCCGAGCAGCCTGCTGTAACCTAGAAAACATCAGGGTGAGGGTAATACAGAGGATTTGGTTCTGGTTCAGCATGGATAGCTGGTGCCCACTGGGGTGCTTCTGGGAAGCATTCCCTCCCTCGGAAGACGGGACTCAGCTTGGCGCCAGAAAAGCCTCTGCTTCAGGAGATAACAAGGAGATAAGAAGGCTTCACAGACCCGTAACCTGCCTTTCTTCCTCCCTCCCCCCAGAACTGCAGGGAGCACCGCGAGGAGAAACCTTCATGGCGCCTTCGGGGACAACGGGGCCACCTCTCTCCTCCCTCCCTTCCAACAACAGCCCTTGTGTCTGCCAGGCGATTTCCCTTCTTAGTCCACTCGCCCTTCCAGACAGCCCATCCGARAGCACATTCCAGGGCCAAGATAAACCAGCCCAGGCTGCCTGGGCTCTCCTCAGGTCACAGAAGCAATTACTGTTGGGAGTCACTTATGTGGCCAAGCGCAGGCCCCTCTCTCATTCTCACTTGCAAACAAGTAAAAACCTCCATTAATTTTGCTGCTAGGTGCAAGTGTGGAAAGTTATTTTTTGCTCCCACTGTATTTCCTTTGTCCACCTCTGTCCTGAGGCTTCCTTCAGGTAAGAAGATCTGGTCACAAGCATTGAAGTTTAGTGGAGGCTTTTCCGCTATTTAGAAGGTAGAGACTCTTTCAGGTAACAGGGCCTGAACTCCAACCTTGCTAGAGCCATGCGGTTCTGGGGAGCCACTGTGAGCAATATTGTGAGAGTACTAGGAAATCAGGAAAAATCAAACCGCAAAAGAGCTGTGTAACTAACTGTGCTGTCAGACTGCAAATCTTGACCCAAACCCACAGTGAAAAGGAAAGCTCTAAGAAGAAACTAGTCAATGCCCACAGTTTTACCAAACAAAGCTTTAAGTCCTTCAAGTATGATCCAGTATGTAAGCATATATTTAATTCTGTCCCAAGGGGAACTGCTTTCAGTCAAAGCAGAAAGCTSAGTGCTGGCAAGATCAAGCTCTAGTGAACACCCTCCTTCTCTGTACGGCACACCTGAAAACCCAGACCACGTCAAAGGCCCAATTTGGGCAGCACTAGAAGGTCATTTTTGAAGCAGCAGGGGCTCTGTGTCTGCAGCAGGTTGCTCTACCTTGCTGTTGGTTGAGGCCCAGTGATCGCGGCCCAAGGGACACAGACAACCATGTTACAAAATGGCCACCATGTTACAGAATGGCGGGTCCACTGCCCCTCTCTGAGCCTGGCTGGAAAACTGCTCTCCAGAGAGATACTAGGGACTGAGTTCCATACAGAAGGCTTAGGAGGAGAGTCTTGGTGCTGCAGATAAGCAACATGCTAAATGAAACTGTCCCTGCTAGTTCACTCACTTGGCAAGGGACAGTCAGTCACGCAGGGCTGGCCAGGGGGCTGTGTGCAAGTCCAGCCTTCACCTTCATGACCTGTTGAGCCTTCCCTACCTCTTAGGTGCCTCACAGCACCGACCACAGTGACAACTACGASCTGTGACTAGCGATATCACCCGGATTTGTGATGTGACTTGGGCTGTRCCTGAAGCAACCTGCAGGTACGAGGTTTTGTGCAGCATCCTTGAGACACTGCTGACCTCGTGGTAGCGGGGAGAACAAGGATCCCTCCTGGAAGCGCAGAAGGACTTGCAGGGAGCCTGGTCCTGCCTGTCTGGAGATGGAGAAAGATGCATGGTCGGTGCCACATTTCAGAAGCAAACTGCTCTCGGAGATCTTCTGAAAGCAGATTTACCTGATACAGTGCAGACCCAGCCAAATTCTCCTCCTGCCTATTAGGTATTTCACATCAACTCTGCATATTCTTCAGGTTGACACAAGATGAAAAGCCCACCCTGCAAACTGACTGAAGTTGAAGGCACTGACACTGTATGATGATCCAAAACTAGGGTAAAATATCATCACTGCCTTAAAATCAGGGAGAAATGTGACAAATCCAAAGTGTTTCTTGAGGGTGAACACCTACTCAAGGGGTGCTCCACTTCAAACTCAAGTTCTGAGGCAAAAAAAGCAGCAGTACAATCCTTGGAGTATTTAAAAATGAAATTAAGTCATTATTTATAAAACTAAGGGGGAATGTAAATTGAGCATCATTAGTAAATGCAGCACATTGCACTGATGACTGAAGGCAATGCAAAACAGCAGATTTAGTGTGTTAGACCAACAGGAAGAAATCAGCTTACAGACAGGGACAACCTAAGGCCCACACTCCTCTCCAAAACCCTCCCAGCCCTTGGAGGGGACAGTCCACAGAGCACCAAGCTCGCCCAGTGTGACCACTGTCCACTGTCAGGGACCCACATTTCACCTCTGCTCCACCCGAGCTCTCCGTTACTTAAGAGCACTGATTGTCTCCCAGCAAAAGAGAGTAAAAGCTGTAAAAATAATGTAAAATAATGTAATCTTGGTGGCAGGGAACTTCCCTGCAGCATTTGCTATTAGCTGTTGGCTGAGGCAGGGAAAGAGACTGCACATTTTTGGCGTGCACTGAGAAGCGTGTGGTCTAGTGAAGTACAGATTAGTGAGGCTTGACTGTTATCTTAATTTACAGCCCATATAGTTCATGTTAACTCCACACACATTTTTAGATACATTAGCAGCTTAGTTTGCCTCAGATACTTTCACTGGTTATTCGCCATTTCTCCTTGACAAGTTATTACTGACTTTGCATGTGAGCTGCCTACAGCAAGACCTGAAGCCCTGTCAGGGAAAAGAAAACGTCAACAGACTTCTCAGCAGTGCTCAGCTTAGACTCCCGCTCATTGCCTTTAATTTCTGCCTAGGCAATTGTTAAAGGAGCAGCAGCCTCTATGCAAACAGTGACTGCACTGCTRCCAAAAGGGGCAACCAGCTCCAGGTCTAACTTGGGAAAATCATCACTTCTCCCTGAACACTTGGAAAATGAAAAATAAAAAATGCCCTCAGTTAGTGCTGAGAACTGCAGCACCCTTTTCGGAGCAGGCCCTGGTGGTTAACGTGATGGCCAGGCAGACATCGTCTGTCCCTCTGCTCCGATACCCTGTCCGGTGGATGATGTTTTCCAAGGTGGCTCCTCTTGCTATATGCATTTTGTCAACGAGCAAGGACTTTTGTTTGTACAGAGCAGCTGCCCTTCTCCTTTGGCTGCCACGACACGGGAATGCACCTAATCACAGCTCACAGGGACAAGGAGCAGCACGAGCCGGCCTACAGCATATGACAACAGATTAATTCCCGTAGTGGCTCCAAAGACCCAGAAGAATGCCAGGTCTTGACCTGGGTGGGCTCTACAAGATTAASTGGGACAGAGATTAAGGCCTTACAGTGAAGATAAAGCCTGACCTGCCAGCCCCGGTGTCACATACTGTATGGGCCATTGTGACAAGGCCCATGTGCAATTCCCATTGAGCTGACACCCAACGCAYGCAGCACAGCCCAAGGCCCTGCTCTCTTGGGGCTGGTGTTTGTGACACCAACCCGCTGTGACCCCAACGCAGAGCGAGGTCAGGACGATACAGCCCCTGCTCCGCACTAATAAAATACATCACGCTCCATGGCAGCTGCTCCTCCCAGGGTCTCTCATTGTGCTGTGTAAGACTTGGTTGCACTCAGAATGAAAAAGACTCTCTGTTCTCAGCTTAACATATTTATTTGCCCTTCCATGTTACTTTGAGGGTTTTTTTAAGTGTTTTTTTTCCCCCCTAGTATTCTCATGCAAAGCCTCCAAATTGTTTACCTGTCAGGGTGTGTAGCGTGTGGTTTACAGTACAAAGGCTCAATTGATGCTGCTTTGTTRCTGTAAGAAGTTAATTAGACTTGTGGGGTTACAAAAGGAAGACACAGTTGGCAGCTCTGYGGTCAGCCTTGCCCCACGCACTTCCTAAAGAATATTTTTCTAGATAAAATAAAGCATTTAACCAGTTAGATCAGCACTAAGATGTGCAAGTGCCCAAGACTGGGTTTAGCCTCCTCTTGTTTAATCTCTCCCCACGAGTATTCCTGCCTTTATACACAATTAATCTCCTAGAAAACATATACACACACACTTGGCCCCTTGGCATTCAAGCCTATGGCAAAATTATTTCCAAGCTTCCCTTATAGCAGAACTGTGTCATTAGCGCTGCGGGAAGAGGGTGATGGCTTTTCCCTCCGTGCCATCAGCCSAACCCAAGAACAACCTGGCCTGGTGCTGCAGAGGCAGAAACCTCCTTTCTAACACAGGTGGGGCCTGGAGGCCCCTGATGTGGCTCTGGGAGTTGCTCTGTGGCACTTGCACGCCAGCTTGTACTTACACCTCTTCAGAAGCACTAAGCAAGCAGGCTGGGCTGGCGATTTTCTTTTCCTTGCTGAGCATAAATATTCATATTCAACTTGCTTTYGGATATATTTAAAGATCAGTAAAAGTTCTGGATGGGGTAACAGGGCAGAAAACAGTGCCAACTTCTTAAACGCATACATGTAGCATATACATTGACCATGAAATCTGGCTAAAACACAGCAATACCTACTTCATTCTATTCAGAAACGTGGCTTGGCGACCAAAATTAACAGAACTTGTCTGAAAGGCAGCATAGGCTTTCTATGAGCTCTTTCAGCCTTAACTTATGTCCCAGTTTTGTCTTGTTTTTCTTCATAGCTCCAATATATGCAGCAGCACGCTCGCCCATTCACCCAGCGCGTTGGCAAAACCAGCCTTCCTTCCAGAGCTCCAGTGTTGGAGTGCACTGGGAAACCTGCCGGTGGATTGGACTGGGAAATGGGACTGTTTGGCTGAACAAATACCCTTTGGAGCTTCTCTTCACCATGACCCCGTGCATGTGTGCATGTGTGTGTCACACCTGCACCCTTCCTGCCTTTCCTTTGCAACCCTGTTCCTCACTGTGATAAACAACTAACACAGCTGTGGCAATGCACCCTATGGAAGGATCATGACTTTCTCAAGAAGGAGAAGGAGCACATTTCTGGCCCCGTTCTCTTCCAGCAGAAATTCCTCAGCTTTCATCCTTGAATTGAGCTGAGGAGGCTTCCTGATCTCTCCMCTTCCTGCAAAGACTTTATCCCTTTGTGTGTGAAAGTCCAACTAAACTTCTGGCTCATGCTCTCACCTTAGCTCTAACAGCAGATGAAATAAAGGCACGAGCTTCTYAGGTGTCTGGAACGGGAAATGTGTGCATTGGAGGAGGAGGTGAGCAATACTGAAGAAACATTCCTGCTTGACCAGCTCCAAAAGACTCACCCTGTTTCCTTACACCACCCCATCTGCCAGAGATCTCTTAACAGCAAAATCACCACCGGCCTCTTAAGTTCTTGATATTTTGTTGTACTGTTAAAAGGGGAATGGGACAAGAGAGAGAAATCCCAGGCCAAATTTGAAATGCACATTCAAATGCAACCTGTGGAGCTACCGGAACAGCAGCACCTATTTTGTGCACAATGCCATGCAATGGACACAGCTGCCCTACCGAGCGGTCCGAGTTCCACGTCCCCGCTTTTACACTAAGCTATTAACTGGTTTTTAGATAGGTAGGATAGAGTCATAATAAATCCTGTAAGAGAACAAGAAATACTCTATATATCTCATTGCTACCATGTTATTCTATCAGGAGAAGGCAAATAAGCATTCTTTGCTGCAGAYTGCGTTTCCATTGCAATCAAGAGTTTCGCACCAAATTGTTAAAAATGTCARTCAGGTCTCGTAAACAGTGAGTATTAGAGAGGACAAGGTTTGCATGCAGCCCTGTGCACTTGGCCTGCGTGTAGCAAAACAGGAAATCTCAGCACCCCTGTTCCAATTAAGCAAAGGTTGATTTCTCATGGAACATAAATTTTYTACTTTTCTCCCAGAGCAACCTAATGCCCGTCTTTTAAACAGTGGTAAAAGATTGTTTTTAATTTCACACCTCACATAGCATGGCCAAATGCTTCATCACAACATGAACCAAAATTTAGGCAGAGCTTTGCAACTGAATCCAAACGATGATCCCCCCCGCCCGCCCCAATATGTACTCAAGGTTTGCAGGGAGAATGTGGAAAATTGTTGGCTAAGGCCAAAGAAACGAGTTCTCCGGTGTATTGGCTGCTGCCGCCAACCTTCACCATGGATGCGTTAACAGCAGACGCATGGATCCAAATCCCATTATCTCCACCACCAATCAAGGAAAGAACCGGGTGTTATTGCACTTCTGCTCTCCTTTTGGTCGTGTCGTAGGATCGAACAACTTCCGACTGGGAAACAACACCGTGTTCTTCTTGAGAAAATGCGTATCCATCTGAAAGAGCAAAGGGAGGAGAAAAAATCACTAGGTTTCAGCTCAAGGGTGCAGCTTGCTTTTAGAAACGGTTCCTGGTGCTCCTGAAGCGACATGACTGACACTGCAGCCATCCTCGCTGCTAAGATGCATTCAGAGCTGTGCATGTGGCACGGAAGGACCATGTGCTGCCACATCTGCCCTGTCCACGCTTCCCTGGGAAACCCTGGCCAAAAAAGCAAACCTGGGCTTGGACACCAGGTTAGCTGCCACAGGGGCCAAAAAAGGACCTTTAAAAACTTAGAGATAGGTGGACACCTGCGTTTTTGCTCGTCTCCTCTATAGGCTGCTTGATGAGATCTGCAGTTTCCCTGGAGGAACATGAAAATGTCTAGACCACAACTGCCATGTGAGTCACATCTTCCTTGTACCACCATAAAGGACTTTTTTTTTTTTTTTTTTTTTTTTTTTGTGCAAATTTCCAGGTGGCATCTGGCAAAACACATTGAGAAACTTGATTCCCTTAGCTAGTCTCCCATGCCTCGAATAGAACAAACATCAACACACTCTGGAGGAAAATCTCTATTTTGTTAACGCAATCCTCTGACCTTCCTTGAAATTTTTCAAATTAAAGAAAATCAGACATACTCATTTAAGTTATATGGACGAGGCTAGTGACATGTCTGACGTCATCTGGAAAACAAATTACTGGTAAAGCAATCTCAACAGCTAAAGGGCCAACATGGTGAAACGCTGAACAATATTTAAACCAGACATGACCCTGCAAAAACTGCTGAATGGAAAACTAAAGCAAAGGAGAACAATCTCTGTGACACAAGGGAACAGTGATTTTCCCTGAAAATGGGCAATTGCGAGGGAAAAGAGGAAGACAGGGAGATTAGGACAGTCATAAAATACAGAGAAATAGGAAAGTCATAGCACATACCAAAGCAGATAAGGCTTTGCTCTAAGAAAGCAAGCCAAGAGTTAGCAGATGTGACTGCTGCCTGGAGGAGCCCAAGAACGAGGCCGTGGCTCCCATCTGGGAGAGGGGCCTTCTCCCTCAACCCAGTGCTGTGCGTGGGAGCTTCAGGCACATCCAGGGACTTTGGAAATTCCCTGTCACGTCTATCTTGAAGGAGACCTTGCAATTGCCTTTCAGGTAGTCCCACAGGGCCTTTTCCCCCTCAGATCACATATCAGGGTGACACGGGGCTGTAGCAAGGCCCAGAAGGGACTTTGCAACAAAAGAGCATATAGGAACGATCACCCTCTTAAGTTGGGGACCAAGGGGTGAGGTCTCTACCAACTTGGTCCATGAGATCTCCACTACTCCATGGAGGAAACCTCTGCCAGTAGATGGAAGAGATTTACACAGCAAGACGTGATCCCGAGCTAACTCAGGCACATTTCCCTAGCGGGGCCCTTGCAGCATCACAGGAACTCTCATGCGATTACACGACTAATCCTGGCATCCCTTTTCATTCCCCCCGACCACTCCATGCTAATACATGTGCCACTACGGACGTACAAGTTTTTTGCTGCCTCAAGCTGAAGTTTCCCAAAATACATTCACAAAATTCAAATTTGCTTTTGGAAAAAGTATATGCCTGGATAACTGCAAAGGAAATCTGATTTACAAAAACAGGCTTTAAGTTAACAAGGAGCAGATCCACAGCTAAACAAATACCCTCAGAGGGCTTGCCGCACCCTGAGGACCAGGATACTGCCCTTGGAGAGGCAGGAGAGGGCAGTGATCCCAGCAGMGGAAAACCGGCTGGGCTGCAAATTGCTGCTGCTTTGGAGGACCCATCCTAGACCTCCATGTCCTCGGTCCATCCTGACAGAGCAGCCACCAGGATGCCTGGCACACACCACGGGAAAGCCCACGGCCCCAGCACTTCCATGTTCCCTCCCTTCAGCCCAACCTTTGGATGTTTATTTAACTTTTCCCGTTGATCTCACTACGTGAAGGTGATTTCATATTAAGCAAGTTTTTTTTCCAATGGAGCGTCAGGCTGTTCACGCTGCTGCCGGAGCCTCGCCGCACTGCAGCGCGCCGCCTTCCCGCTCTCCCCATCCCAAAGCAGCACAAGTTTCCACCTGCCAGCGACCAGGGAACTCAGGGAAAAGCGGGAGCGTTCCCGGCTTGGGCCGGGAGCCCAGAAGCGGCGCCGGGTGGGGAACAAGGTGCTCTTTGTGCGCGGCCSCCCCGGCGCTTGCCGGGCACGACCCGCAGGACCGGCCTCCGCGCCCACAGTGCATCCACACGGCTGCCAGGGAAGGGGGACTCGGGAATTCCCGGCAGTGGGGCTCGCTGGCCAGGGGGACATTCGCATTCTCTTCACATCTAAGGTTTCACCGGTAGCAGATATTATCAGGCAACCTATTGAATTTTAAAAGCACCTTGGTTTTTTGCTTTTTTTTTTTTCTTTTTAAGCTTTGATATTCTATTAGCAGATCAGCATCTAGCCTCCCACTAGGCTTCTAAGTTAACAGAACTCCTCTCTGTTCACTGTGATGAGGATCCTGCCCAATCCGACCCTGGGCTAGAGAAATGCTCTGGATATTCATGTCCTGTGCATGCAAAGGACACAGTGAGATCCCAACAGCCGGGGAGACCTGGATGGAGAGGGGCCCGGGGGCTCCCGCTGCTCCGGGAAACCCGCTCGGGAAGGACTGGGCAGCACTGGCTACTCACAGAGTTGCTCCGGAGACCTCCTGCTCCTCACGCTCTTCGCCCCAGACAGCCAAGGCTGCTGCAGCCCCTGGGTTATCTGAGGCCAAACAGCACTGGAAACCTCTTTTTTAGCAGCAGAACTGGTTCCCCCCTTGATTTAAGCCCTAACATGCATTTCACCATGATGTCGTTTGTCTTCTGACAAAAAGAAATGCCCAGATTCAAATCCACTAGAGTGACATTTCGGGAGGATTTGGGGGAGCTCTGTTTTTTTATCATCTGTATTTTTTTTTTTTTAGGAAGTGCTTGCTCCTTAGATATCAAAATACCTCTGACAAAATAAAACCCAATGTTGGAATAGTGCTTGGCCAGCCAAATTCTCTCTCAGGCCAGATGTTTGATTCCGCATAGCTTTGTAAGGAGACTTGATGAAATGTCATAGTTCTTATTTACCAATTAAAGAGTAAACGCTAACTCAGCATGACTTCTCAGGGACCCCTCTCTTCAGCTTGTCCTGGGAAAGTGAGAGCTGCCTTGTCTTGTGTCTTGGACATTTTGACTATAACTTACAGAAATCATTCATTTCTCTGCTGATAAACTATGCCTCTGGGTTTCTGAAGGACCCAAGAGAAATTCCTGGAAAACGGTCCCATAACTGTCTTCCTGGAAATTAAAACATGGAGCCGAATGCCACGGCACCAGTTCAAAAATATTTACCTTTCAAAAGAAAAAAAGAATGATTGCAGCTCACCTTGACCATCAACAAATAGCTAGCTGCCTTTTAAAAATACCAAATATATATTAATTCAAATGCATCCMCTATGAGAGGAAATGGAGTTTAGAAAGCATCTCAAATAGCATCTCAAATAGCTACCCAGTTGTTTCTGAAATCAAAATACGCCAASAAAAAAGCGAGAGGAAGAAGGTGTCTGCTAGTGGAGAATAAATGGTGGGATTAGAGCCCTCAGCACGAACACATTATTATTATTTATTATTCACCAGCCCCCATGCTGTGAAATGAGCCTCAGAGGGCAGGTGCTCTTTCTCCATTGACTAACAAGGTGCAAAGCAAAGCTTCCTGTTCGGATTTACCCCATAYGCTGCCAAAGGAAAGGGGGTTTCTCCGCTAGCACGGGAATGTGGGCCGGGTACCATCATCCTCGTGCAGGCGCCGCTTCCCACACTCCAGGAGCTCAGCTCTGTGCTTAAGACCATGCTGGGATGGGTCACAAGTAGCCGGTGACAGGAGACATTCTTCATTGCAAGAGGGAAGGCACTGGAGGGCTCCCCAGGGAAGGCCAGGATGGAGGGTRCCTCGGTACGGGAGGGGACATGGCTGTCCCCATCCTTCTGCTCTGGGCTCAGTTGTGCAGGAGGAGAGGGACAAGAACAGCTTTCCTCTGCACAGGGGGTTCTCAGAGGCAAATGCTCCTAGGTCAAAGGAGGGCTCCTATGCCTTGGCACTGAGCTGCTGTGACAGCGGCACCTTCACAGGCTGGAGCAAGCAGAGGCGCTGAAATGGATGAAGCCTTGGAGAGCTCGCTTGGAAAAAACGCAAGGCCAACAAATCCTTGGAACCTCAGAGCATTTTGGAGCCAGACTAAGGTTGCTCCTTCCCTGGAACGGAGGCCCCAGGACATCCAAAGAGATGCAAACACCTGAAAGAGAAGCCTGGTGGCTTTCCAGGTGTTCTTAAGGGGCTTTAGAAAGCAGATGGAAACAGGGAATCTGCAATTCCACACAGGCACCTCCAGCACGAGCTGCACCAAGCCCTGWAGGAGAAGGCCACTGCTACTGCCTACAACATTTCACTAGGGCAGCAGCACATGAGCTTGTCACCTGTATAAAACCCAGGACCAAGAGCCTCAGGACAATCTCATCTAACTGGGACCTCACCACAGAGGCTTTCTTTTTCCTCTTATTTTTTAAATAAATCTTCCTAATTGCTATACTGAGGGGAATAAACAGCATGAGCTTTGCTAGTGCAGTCTGTAGATAAATTTTCTTTATGTTTCTGGCAATTCTACATAATTTGGCAACCCAGAAACACAGCCAGAGCAAGAAAAACAACCAAAAAGGGCTACCACGCTTAAGCGCATACGTAAGAGGGCCCTTCCAGATGGGCACGAGCCAGTTCCCCGCCAGCGTGAACAACCCGGAGCAGTCGATCCTGGCTGGTGTCCACGTGTGGCCAGCACGGCCCTGGCTGCAGTTAGACCTGCCAGGGCATCCTGTGCACACACCAGCCCTGCATCTGCCCTGAGCAAATGCTGTGCTAGTGCTGCTGGAGAGCGGCTGGTCGATGGACAGACAGGCAAGGCATGGAGCAGGCCCAGTTTATATCTTGCAGTAAAGGACGGCCAAGATTTGCCTGTTTAGCCTGGAGACTGAGAGGGGATCTCACCAATATGTATAAGTGCCTGAGGGGAGAACGTAGGGAGGAAGGGGCAAACTCTTCTCAGTGCTGCCAGTGACAGGACAAGGGGCAATGGGTATCAGTTGAAACCCAGGCAGTTCCATCTCCATGTGAGGAGGAACTTCTTCCCTGTGAGGGTGCCAGAGCCCTGGAAGAGGCTGCCCAGGGAGGCTGTGGAGTCTCCTTCTCTGGAGATCTTCCAAAGCCGCCTGGCTGCCACCCTGTGNGGCTGTGGAGTCTCCTTCTCTGGAGATCTTCCAAAGCCGCCTGGCTGCCACCCTGTGCCCCGTGCTCTGGGTGTCCCTGCTGGAGCAGGGGGTTGGACTRGGTGATCTCYAGAGGTYCCTTCCAGCCTCACCCAGTCTGTGACTCTGTGATTGAGCCATCCTTCCATGCTTTTTTACTCAACAGCCTGTGCAGGGAAACTGAAGCACATTCTCCTTTCTTGCTGTGGTCAGAGCAATTGAACTGCCAAAGCCCTTGTCAGCCTTAGCTAAACAAACCCTTCTCCTGCTTTATGTGCAACTGGCAGATTTGGAGCTGAAGTCACACGAGCAGTTTTTAGGGGAAGTGGCCTTCACAGGCTGGGAACGTGGAGCCTGGTGAAAACACATGAATAGTTCAGGACTTCAAACAGAACGTATGTAGTGTGATTTAAGATACTGGCCCAGCATGTCAAGGCTACTGCCCTATTCATCAACTCTTTCCTTTGAAGATTTCCAGCATTTAGTAAACAGTTGTACAATTTAGCGTTGTGAAAACAGCACGTGTTCCCAGGATTTCACATGGCCTTGGACATATAGCAGCTATGCAGCTTTTGAAAATAACATTTGACAAGAGATGACAGAAGTTTTAAAGAATCATGAATATGCCATAAAAAAAGCCATTTCAGTCCTAGCAGCTCCACAATGAAAATTTACATTCATGGGAAAAACAGATGACTGATTGTGACCTGTCCTGACTAGGCTCACTCATTTAGCACTTAATCATTTGCATTTATAGGGTCTTGTTATCCAAATTAGGGTTTATTTGATATCTCAATTTTCTTTCCTAATAACCATGCACTTATTAACAACATGATGATGTGTTCTACCAAACCGAAAGCCCAGACAAGTCTGACCAGTCAGCAGCAGCAGGACATCTCCTTCCTGCACTATGCTAAGTCTCCACAGCAGATCTCCTAGACCGCAATACATTTATGTATGTTATGGATTTGTCCTGCCAATCATCTCCTCCAGTGTTTCCTTGGAGGGTGAGTTTTATGGGTCCAGAAGAGCGTTACAGGCAGCACCCCTGGCTCCCTGACTTGGTGCTCCCATGTGGGCACTCACATCCCATCCCCACAAGAGCCTGCTCAAGGAAAGGATGCAGGTGGGAAGTGAGGTTCGACTCCCATCAGTTCCGTGGGGACCTTAGACAGACCAAGATGTCATTTCTGACTGCAATGAAGACACCCTCCCCAAATGCTGAGTGCCCACCCCCTGCCCTGCACAGCACATGGGGGGCTATTTTCTTAAGAAAGATGAGTATATTTTGACCAATGTCTTTCCCAGAAAGACTGCACTTCATCACCTGAACGGGTGACTGGACTCCCTACTCCCCCAACACATCCCGCTCCTTGGAAGCATCTGGCCTGCAGAGTCTCTACATTATTTTAATGCTGTGTCAGCCCTGACAACACACACGGGTGCAGCAGACACAGGCCTGTCACACGCTCCCCTGTGGAAGCGGATAAATGGGGGACCTCAGCACCAGCAACAGATGCAGCTTGTTCTAAATAGCACCCGTTGCAAGGGGTGAGGTGGCAGCTCCTCTCCAAGCACAGGACAAGGAGGAGGTGACCTCGAGCAATGCAGTTCCACACCATGGTTTGGTTCTGCACACCAATGATGGCTTCATCAGAAACGTGCACAGCACAAATGGCATCCCTGAAATACTGCTGTGCTCTCAAAAGCTACTTAGACTTTTCAAAAAGGAGCCAGTTCTATTTAAGCAAGGCTCTATCACAACATTTATTTTATCCTGCAGAGTTTTTGATTTTTACAGTATTCTTGAGACTACCAGGATTTTACATTTAGAGAATTTGTGTATTGGGATTTTGGCATTTGGGCCTGTTGATTGGATCCTAGGGAATTCTCCACATTTGAGCTCCACTTGCCTAGGGCCAAATACACTAATTCCACTTCCAAATGTATGTCTCCTGGTTGGCAGCTCACCCTCCGCACTAGATTATCTCTACCTACAATGTAATTAAAAAATAATCACCCTTTGCTTCACTCATCTGGGACTCGCTGCTGTGAAACAMGCATGCATCCACAATCCATTACTTACGTGATACACTTTGCTGGACAGAATGAGCTCGAAAAAGGCTTGGAGGAGTTTTCCTGCCAAGCCTTTTTAACAAATGATCACGTTCGTTCACGCTGAGGGAGAAAAAAAATATATATATATTAGTGAGGAGGCAGATAATTTCAAGATAAAAGTCAACTATATTTAAAGTACTTGGCAGCTTTGGCTATGTTGCTGCTTAATGCTATAGTCATTTACAATTGCTGTAGCTTAAAAATATCTCATCTGTCTTTAAATCATATGCTATTAAGAGCATTCTAGAGTAAAGAAAAAGCCTTTTTGGCTAAATGGCTTAAACAAAAGCTAAATGGCTTAAACAAAAGCCATTTTGTTTAAGTACAGATTTGGTTGATCTATCCCTGCTATCACCTTTATTGAGATGGTGATGTCTATAGACCTTTGATACGATTTGTACCAAATCTGACACCTCAAGGGACACAGAGCATAAAAAAGGAAATTTCTTTTTTTGCTACTATGCACACAAATCGTGACAGCCATAAGCTGCCTCAGAGAGAGGCACGAATGTACTGTTACCTAACACATGGTAAAAGGCTTTATCACACCTCCAAAGTGACCTGAAACTCTCACTCATCACTGATTTTGTCTTCTACAGAATCCTCTCATTTCCACCTATATTGGAAAAAAAGAAAAAGAAAACAAACCCACATTCTACCCAGTTTTCACCTGGAACTCAATTTGGTTTCTTTACTTCATTTCAAAGGCCTGAAAAACTATTATTAGTTTTACAGAAAGTGAAAACACAAATGTAAAGTGAAAAAATACAATATTGAGCTGAAAGAGGCAAGCTGACTAGATTCCTCACCCCTAGATAAATCATTACAACTACTGCCCATCCCAAAACTTATGAAGGGGGGTGAGGTACAAAAAAACAACACCACATTTTGAGAACTTTATGCCCAGAATAGGGAAATGATGTCTAAAACTCAGGTTTCAGAGCACTTAACTAAGCATATAAGTCTAACAAAGACGCCCCAATCAGGATATAATGAAATACATGTTATATTCTATTTTAATTGAAAGTTCCTATGGAATTGAGCCTTTTTCTCTCCCTCTCCTTTCTTTTCTTGTTCTCACTGTTGTTCCTAATACTGGGATGGAGACCATGAATCCCTTCCAGGATGGATGTCCCATGAATAGGACAGATGTCTCTTTCTCATTTCTTGATCTTATTTGTATCACATTTACAGCGGATGTTGCCATCTCCAGAGAAATTCCCATATATTTGGTTCATGAAATGGAAATCCCAGCAAGCTTACAGCAGCTTTAACCTGGCAACTCCCTTTCACTGAAGCAGTTTGCTAACTTCAAACAAGAAAGTAACTAGAGARCTCTGAGATGTCTATAGTACGTAATGCATCTATGTGGGTTTACATTTCACTTAATATTCCATTAAGTTAACAGCCACATTCAGAGTCCTCTGTGTGGTGCCTAATGAGATGCCCAGGAAAGAAAGGCAGGAATCCTCCTACAGTCTCCAGTCTGGCCACCTGAACRAGGAAACTGTACAGCCTGTTCCCCCTTCATTTAAATCCTTATAAGCATCAGCACTTCCAGAAACTTTGGTTTTTTCCTGTCTTTTCCTTGGCCCGGCAGATTCACACCTGTAACTGCTATGCCAGGTTCTTTCTCCCGCCTAAGATCAGTGGTATTTCAGCAATGAAAGCACAAGTTGACAACAGGTTTGGAAATAAAACTACAGGTACAAACTTGGGGCATCAGAGAATCTCTGAGAGCTTTTGAATGATCAGAGCCACATGCATTCAAAGAAAATAAAAAAGACTAGAAGTTTCCACTGAAAATATAGTTTCAGCATGGGAGACACTGAAGCTTGGAAGCTCTAACTGGTAAGACYGGCTGCCTGGTTGTAAGATAACTGAGTGCCCACACAAGGAAACCCCCAACAGTGCCAAGGAGGAGGAGGAGGAATGGGAAGGGCACACTCGGAGGGACAGGGGATGGCAAGCACAGCCCGAGACATGAGATCCCCCAGGTCTGAACAGGGTGACAGAGCCGACGGGCTCTAGGATCTATCAGTGCCAGCACGGGCACAACCCACTGAAAGGGCATCGTGCAACCTCGGGCTGATCGCAGTGGGCTCCTGAGAACCTGCAAGACTGGTAAGAGTAGCCAAACACTGTCTGAGACTGCTATTATCCCGGGGAGGAAAGAAGACAAAAGAGAAAAATATTCCAAAAGCAAACTATTGTTGTGATAGGAAAGAAAAGGGAAAGCTTGGGGGCTTATAGACGTTTGTCCATCCTCTGCACGTGAAGGAGAACAGGTAGATTGGGTGAGGACTGTCTCAAGAGGAGAAGAATCAAAGGGCAGTACGGATTGACTGTTAGAGGAAAAAAAGTCTTTTACTGATCAGAAAAGTTAGTTCTAAGGGATAAATATGCAACATTTTCCATGTAATTCTGCTAGGGAGAATGCTGTGAACCAAGGCAGGGAAAAGCACGGGGGACAAAGTCTTTAACTGCCTGTCTACTGCCCAGCACGGGATAAAATGCCAGCTGGATCTGCTGCAGGCSGCTCGTGGTTAGCTCCTTCAGCCCCTATTTGGGAGGCGTGGGGCAAAATGTGCTACCAGGGGCTTGTGGACACGAGTGGCACGGGGCTGCCCTGAGGAAGCCAACGCTACCCCACCTTTGATACTGCTAATTACAAATAACAATTCCATAACTGAAGTCACACCRGAGTTTCCCATTTGGGAAATTATACTGGGTCTCATCTGCACAGAGAAACAAAAGCTCTTGGTGGAATTAAAGCATTTACAGTTTAAGTATAAGCAACGATTAAACAAGGCCAGTCGAGTGGTATAAAACAAACCCTTAACAGACAGAGGTAAATGCAACATGGCTCTTCTGAAATGGGTAGGATTCGTAACAGAAAATAATCTCCCAATACAAGCCTTGGAAGAAGGAAAGGTCAAGTTAAGTGGATTTCTTAAGGGGACCTTGGTATTGGCACTGCTATCAACAGATTCCCTGCTCGCAGGATGGGTTTTCTGCTGCGTCCAACAGATAAGGGCACAAACTACAGACATCTCAGCAGCCTCCCTCACGCCACGGTGCAGAACCAAYGATGTTCTCAGGCTGCAGCAAACAAGGCCAGGCCTTGCCCCCCAAAAATGCTGTGCAGAAATCAAGCCTGAGCATCAGCCACGGGTGCTACTGGTAACAGGGCTTTCCAGTCACCAGTGCCAGGCGCTCGGAGTCATCCCACGGAGTCTGCTAAGGCTGGGTCTACAGGTGGGCATGTTAAAATGCAGCAGGGCAAAAAGATATAATAATAATAATAATAATAATAATAATAATGAGACTGGATACAGGCTCTGAATACCTGATGTGTTCATGCTTATGCTCAGGCCCTAAAGGACGATGTGAAAGCGAGGAAATGACAAAACCAGATACCCTTCCAGGAGCCAGCGACCCAGAAAGCGGCAGTGAAATATGCTGCAGTTGTTGGTTAGTGATTTTGGAAGGGGGTGAGGGAAACTCATCTCCTAGCTGTGATTATGTGAAGCTTGGACAAGGGACTGACAAAAGTATTTGAGGCAAACCAAACAAACAGCTCCGAAAAAAATATTGAAGGGGGGCAAAAACGCCGTTATTAGGAAAAAGTGATTAAAAAAAGTAATTACCCAAGACCTCTAATACCAGACTAAGCTGCTATCAATAAAGGAGAGAAGTGTGTGTAAGGAATACCTCTGTAACAGCTTCCCGGGAGGGTCAAGATGGTTCCAGCCTGTCTGGAGTGTAAACTAAAGGCAACTTAGTACTTCCTAATGATATTTTCTATTCCATGAATAAAACGGGTCTTCCATTTTGTAAGTGAATACTGTAAGGTATTAACAGAGATCCTAATTTTACTTAATTTTTTTTTTTTGTATTCCCTTCTCACCCCTCACAAAAGCAAACAGCCCTTAAATCCAGGCAACAAACATCTGGCTTTACACATTCAAATGAGGAGCATCAAAACAAACAGAATAATTCAAAGCTGACCACAAGGTCCCACTGGCTCCTTTGCTCAAGTAATTAAAAAAAGATGAGCTTCACCACCAATTAACCTACTGAGCACTAATTAGCGTTAATGAGGATTTGCGGTCCCTGGTATGGCTTGACCCGGAGTGTCCCCCTGAGCTCACTAATTGGCCGGTGGCAAAAGCAGAGCTCACAAAAGAGGGGAGGTTAAAGTGGATGCAGGTGCCCTGCTTAAAATAGGGTCTTCCCAGAGAAAATGGATGCATGGATCAGCYGAAAACAAAAAATTCCAGGTCTCCCTTGTGCAGAGGAGTGAGCTGTCGTGGACTGGGTTGGTGTGTGGCTCTGGTTCGTTAGTGAGATACAGAACATGGACCATGTAATGGGCAGAGCTGCTCGGCTGCTGCTCTGTTTGGCCTGCTGCCCTTGTGGCCTATTCAAACCTCAGTCACTGGATGCATGCAGGAAAGGATCTGGTTTTGTCTCCTGCCTTCCTGCTTTCCTRAGCGAGGAATTTCACTATTGGTGACTGCAGCTAGTAAAACCCACAGGAGTAAAAGCCAGCAGCGCATCCCAGCTGGGATCACAGAATCACGGGAATGGCTGAGGTTGGAAGGGACCTCCAGAACCATCCAGTGCAAGYCCCTGCTCCAACARGGACAACGTACAGCTGCTTTTCCTGTCATGTGGTAACTATGAATTCCCTTGCCCGCTGCCTGCAGGTGCCGTATCACCATTTCTTCACTCCCATGTGTGTGCAGTGTCACCATTACTTCACTTCCATGGCCCTGCTGCAGCACTAGCAACAGCCAAATCATTGTGCAGATACAGCTTAAAACAGAAAACTCTAAAGCTCAGGCTGAAAGTCTGACTCTTAACTCCATAGGTGTCTGTCTCCCCCGTGCTCCCTGCCCCTTCAATCCCTACACAATTCCCAGCAGATAAACCCTTACTTAGCACCTCTCTTTCCACTGTCACCTTGCTGTCTGGCATGCCCTGTCTGGTGGCATTTGGCTGCTTTCTTGTCTGCAGACCTCACTGATGTTGTTGCATCAGGAAAAAGCCAGGGA